AAAACCCCAAAACCCCAAAACCCCAAAACCCCAAAACCCCAAAACCCCACGAGCAGAGTATCTTTGAAATTGGAGGGAAAACAGTAAAATTTAATATATAGTCAGTAAAATAGTCACATCTTTACATTTAATAATAATGAGGAGAAATATATAAAAGCCCGCAATTTAAGCTAAAAAGGCTAAATTTGATTCTGATAATTTTGAAGCTAGGTAAGATAGACTTCCTTTTATACTCTTCTTTTAGCATTGGCGTGAACTTTGAGGAAATGGCAGCTACCAAGGTCGGGTATTTGGCTAACATAAAGACTACCTCTTTTTAAGACTAGAATGGAGGAGATCTTTCAGCTGTGTTGCTTTACTTCATTGAGCCTAATGGCTAATGGTTCAAGGGTCTCTTACAATATGAACCCTACTTCTATCTCTTATGTGCTAATGAAGCTGTGAGGTAAGCTATCAACTATTTATTAATTTGACGTATAGAGAGATTGTATTCTATCTCAACAAAGCCTATGAAGCTCTGATATCATCAATCGACTATGTTGATAAAGAGGATTTAAGCTTAGTCAACCATTTGTCCGGGAAAACTTAGAAATATCTCAAATTAAGTTTCAAAAACATTCAAGACTTACTCTAAGTCAGAAATGAATTGCAAGTCATTGTAAGGAGAAATGAAAAGAACAAAGAGACTTAAGAAGCATATGAAGGATTTTACAACGCAAGCGACCTCGTTAACTAGCAAATCGATTCAGCCTACTACTTGACAAAGATTATTGATTTAAGAGAATTCGATGTGAACTATCACATTAGAGTGGCTATTGACAATGAAATTAGATGTGCCTTTTGGTATGAGATTGAAGTCGATGGACCTCTTATTACCAGCATTAAGCACTTAAAAGAGAAACTTGATAAAGCTGACTTAAGAATTTTGGCTTTTGATATAGAGACAACAAAGGCGGCATTGAAATTTCCTGATTCCAGATTTGATTAAGTTATGATGATTTCATATGTGATAGATGGGCGAGGATATTTGATTACTAATAGATAAATAGTTGGTGATGATGTCTAGGATTTTGAGTACAGTCCCAAGCCTGAATATGACATCGGAGTCTTCACAGTATTCAATGAACCAGATGAGAAGGGACTTCTAGATAAGTTCTTCAGCCATATAAGAGAGACTAAGCCATTCATCTATACTACTTTTAATGGTGATTTCTTTGATTGGGTCTTTATCTAAGATAGATGCAAAGTTTATGATATGACACTCGAAGATTAAATTGGAGTATATTGCAACTCCTAGTCTGAGTATTCAGGCAGATTTGCTGTTCATATGGATTGCTTCTATTGGGTGCAACGTGATGCTTATCTTCCGCAAGGGTCTCACGGTCTAAAGGCAGTTACCAAGGCTAAACTAGGCTATGACCCAGTTGAACTAGAACCAGAATTAATGGTGCCATATGCTAAGGAGAGACCATAAGAACTGGCTGAGTATTCAGTCTCAGATGCTGTTGCAACTTATTTCCTTTACCAAAAGATGATTCACGATTTTATTTTTGCCTTGTGCACTATTATTCCAACGAATCCTGATGAAGTGCTCAGAAAAGGTTCTGGTACTCTCTGCGAAGATTTATTGATGGCTTAGGCTTTTAGATGCAATATTATTTTCCCAAATAAGCAACAAGAGAAGTTTGAAAGATTTTACAACGGTCATTTGATTGATACTGAAACCTACATCGGAGGTCATGTGGAATGCCTTCGTACCGGAGTATACAGAAGTGATTTTCCTGTGAAGTTTAGACTAGAAAAAGCAGGCTATTAAGGATTAATTGATTAAACTGAGGCTATTATGGATTTTGCTCTTAAAGTTGAATTGAATATCGATAAGGCTCTTGTTACCAATTACGATTAAATTAGAGATGATATTGTATCAAAGTTAGAAAATATTAAAACTAAATGCCCAGTATACACAGCTGAGCCATTGATTTATCACGTTGATGTAGCTGCTATGTATCCAAATATCATCTTGTCAAATAGATTGCAACCTGTTGCTATTGTTAATGAATAAGTTTGTGCTGGTTGTATTTTTAACAAAGACGAGAATAATTGTAAACGTGAACTTAACTGGCAGTGGAAAGGAGAATATTTCCCTTTAACCAGAAAAGAGTTTGAAGGAGTTAAAAATCAATTAGTCTATGAGGAAGAGAAGGAAATTGAAAACAAAAAGGAATTCACACTTGCCACTCTAACTGAGCAGCAAAGACTTAAACTCAGAGTTAAAAAGTACTGTCAAAGTGTGTATAAGCAGAATCATAAGGCAGAGATTCAACTCAAAACTGACACAGTTTGCATGAGAGAGAACAGTTTCTATGTTGACACTGTAAGAGACTTTAGAGATAGAAGATATGAGTATAAGAACTTAGTTAAGGTCTGGTCTGGCAAGTATAGTGAAGCAAGCAAGGAAAATAATATTCTTAAAATGGAAGAGGCTAAAAACTTGATGAGCTTGTATGAGTCTCTATAACTGGCTCACAAGATTATTCTTAACTCCTTCTATGGCTATGTGATGAGAAGAGGTGCTAGATGGTATTCTATGGAAATGGCTGCTATGGTTACTCATACTGGAGGTTCCATCATTACTGATTCAAGATCTTTATTTGACTAAATTGGTGTTCCATTGGAATTAGATACTGATGGTATCTGGACATTGCTGCCTAAAGGTTTTCCAGAATGGTCTTCTTTCCAACTATCCAATGGCAAGAAAGCTAATTTCTCATTCCCTTGCACAATGTGTAATGTCTTAATCTATGATAAATACGCAAACAAGCAGTATCAAACCTTGATAAACCCAAAAACATTGGAATATGAGACAAGAACAGAGATGTCAGTATTCTTCGAAATCGATGGGCCATATAGAGCTATGATTATTCCAGCATCAAAGGAGGAAAATAAGATGCTTAAAAAGAGGTATGCAGTTTTCAATCATGCAGGAAAGATGACAGAAGTAAAGGGTTTTGAACTGAAACGTAGAGGAGAGCTCAAATTGATCAAGATTTTCTAGGAGGAAGTATTTTCAAAATTCTTGGAGGGTAAAACTTTGCAGGAGTGCTATGATGCATGTGGTGAGGTAGCTGAAAGATGGTATGATATTTTAGACACTGAAGGTGAGTATATTGATGATGCTGAAGTGATTGAATATATTGGAGAAAGCAGATTCCTTAGTAGAAGTCTCTCAGAGTATGATGGCCAGAAAAGTCCGATGATAACCTGTGCTAGACGTTTAGCTGAATTTCTAGGAAATGAAATTGTAAAAGGCAAGGGTATAAATGTAAAGTTTATCATAGCTAAGTAGCCTCTAGATGCTAAGATCACAGAGAGAGCTATCCCAACTGCTATCTTTGAATCAGATCCCAATATAATGAAAAAGTTCTTGAAAAAGTGGTTAAAAGATAGTTCTTTGACTGATTTCGATATGAGAACCATTATTGACTGGAACTACTACAAGGAGAGAGTTTCAAGCACAATCCAAAAAATTATTATGATTCCAGCTGCACTCTAAAAATGTCTAAATCCAGTTCCTAAGATTTAGTATCCAGACTGGCTTAACAAAAGAATTAAAGCTTAAGACGATAAATTCAAGCAAAAGGACATGACATATTTCTTTAAGAATAAATAAAAACAGCCTTAACAGTCAATAAGAGAGATTGAGGATACTGCCTCAAGTAATCCACTAACCAAGCCAATTCAAAAGTTATCACTTGGCTCAGAATCACTTTCAAAGAAGCCCTAATCTAAGTAATAATAAGTAGTAGTTGATAAATACGGGAACATTGAGGAATGTCCACCTCCAGAAGACAACTTCTAAGATTGGTTACAGTATCAAAAGAGTAACTGGAGAAAGATTAGGAAAAATATTAAAGAAGACAAAAAGGTTATTAGGGAAAAATCTCTAAATACACTTGCCGTTCCAAGAAACTAAGGCCTAAACACTTTCATTAGAAATATGGATGATATGGTACTAAACTCGACCTGGCACATACTTTAAATCAATGAAACGTTTGAGCCAGGCATCATGAGAATTTGGGCCATGACAGAAAATAGCTAGATGTTTTCAGTAAGACTTAAGGTCCCAAGAGTTATCTATATCAACTCCAAAACAGTATGCTAAGATGCAGATTTTAAGAAAGTTTAAAAAATACTTCCAAGAGAAAGAAAAACTTATCATCTTTATGAGTGGGAAAGTTCTGAAGATAGCTTCTAAGAAAAATTCCATAACCTTACTTATCATCATTTGATGAACCCTACCGTTGAAGGTGTATACGAGACAAAGACCCCACTGTTGTTTAAAGCAATTTTAGAGTTAGGATGCCAGGTAAAGCCTAGGAGAAATGCAATTTAACGTAGCGAGCAAGCTCTGGGAAGATTGTATAAAATCTCTGAATTAGAGCTTAGACATTCCATGCCAACTGAGTCAGTATATCTTCCATCAGGATCGTATGAGAAGATATATCTACTTCAATCTTAGAGCTAAAATAATAGGCATTTCTGGGGTCTTTTTACTGAATCTTAAAAAGAAGGTTACTTCTTTGTTGTAAACCCAGTGGCTAACGCTAAAAATCCAGCATTGCAAGGATCTTTAAATTACAAGAGTATAATTAATAATACACTAACTGAATAAGGATACTAAATAGATTATGTAAACTGGGATTTCAGCAATAATCAATACACTTTCAATGAACTTTCATCTTGCCTTAGAGCTATCGATTAAAAGCTTCAAGAGTACAAATCAAAGAATAAAGGTGCAACTATAGTGGTTCTGTAAAGTGAATTTACTCCTGAAAAGCTTATGTTTATGGGAATGCCAAACTTATTCAGTGAATTCCCATGCATGAAATGTCCTCAAATACTGTCTGACAACGAATTCCCAGCTTTAGATTGGATTAGATTTGCAGTCAAAAATATGGCTACTAGATTCGTTGAAATCAATGAATGGGTTAAGGAGAAAATTAACTTTTCAAGATACTCATTAATTCCTGTCTGCAATCTCGAGGGAGATGCTCCTCTATATATCATTGATACTCTTTATGCGAGAAACTTAACAATGAGCAAGCATCTTCTTTGGTACTCAGACACCTCAAAGCCAGATCTAGGAGGTCATGAGGATAAGGATTTCAGAATTTATTTCTAAGATGAAATTGAAAACCCTGAAGTAAGCTTGAAGGGATTCTATAGAGGTTACACAGTTGAGATTGATGTAACTTAATTTGCTGTGAATGCAATCCTCTAATCAGATCTTTTAAAGGACTTTGAAGAAGCCTCTGTTTTCGCAACTTAGATTTAGTAATAAGACAAAAATGGTAGAAGAGGTGAAGGCAACTTTGTGAAAATGCAAAATAGTGAATTCGATAATGATTTGGATGAATACGTAACATGCGCAGGAATTTTCAGGAAGCTTAGAGAATTAGTAAACTTCTGGCTAAGTGATGTATTGAAGGATGATTAATATGCTGACAGACTGATCTCACATCTTTATAGATGGCTATCTTCATCAACTGGCTCTAAGCTGTATGATCCTTTACTGCACAGATTGGTTCACTAACTTATGAAGAAGTTCTTTTATCAGTTACTACTGAGGTTAAAACAGTTAGGCTGTAAAGTTTTTTATGCAAGTTTCCATAAAATTATGATTCATACAGAGCGCGATACCTTTGAAGAAGCTGAAAGCTTTATCAACTTTGCCATAACTACAGTCAAGCATAACCCCTTGTTTAGTTTCATTCAGCTAATTCCAAATGAGTACTATAAAATTCTTTTGTTCAAGGATATTTACAACTACGGAGGCATCAAAGAGTCTAATCCCTCTAAAGTATCAAACAAATGGGATATATGTATGCATTTACCTCAAGCAATTTAAAGAAAATTCTTACTCACAGTTGGTGAGTACATACTCAAGGTCTATAAGCACAACAATAGAATGAAAACTGAAGGAAATTAAAACCATGTTGAAGAAGAAAATCCTCTGCAAAAAGAAGATAAGAAAATTGAATCATATATGGATACAGTAGACGACTTCAAAAAAGAGAAGGATCACGATTATATTTCCAAGCTTATATCTGAGTATTTCTCATAGAAATTGTTCCCATTGGTAAATGAATTTCTTACCAAAAAAGAAGAGTAGGGATCTGATGTTGAGTAAGATGATTATGAAGATGATGCAGGGGAGGAAGGCCAGGAAGAATATGGCGAGGAAGGTGGAGCCGATGAAAATGATTAGAACTACCAGAACACAGCTTATGTGCAATAGGATAACAAGTATGTAAAACAAAGAAAGTAGAGAGAAAAGGAGAAAAAGCAAAGAGAACTTAAAAAGTGGGAATTCCCTCAGAGAATCGGCTCTTATAATGACTATAAAAATGCTGCTCTTGAATTTTCTAAGCAAATTTGTAAAAATGTATTTGGATTAGATGAGGCATTTTCTGGTCAAACTACTACATTGAAAAGAAATCTACTTAGTATTATTAGGGAAAAAGAGTTCTCTACAAATGTAGTCAGTGCAACAGAGCCAAGTCTTATCTTAGTAATTCCAGATGTAATATGTGAAGTATGCTAAACTAGTAAAGATTTGGATATTTGCAGAGACCCTTCACTAAACAATGATAATCAAGATAGCAATGATCAAAATCCGGAAGTTTGCGATTGGAAGTGCTAATAGTGCGAAAGTGTTCTTAATAAGGGGCTTATTGAGAGAAGACTTGTTGATCTTCTGAATAGAAGAGTAGTGGGCTATTAAATATAAGATCTGAAATGCATTAAGTGCTAAATGGTCAAGAACACCCTAGTAAGCAGATACTGTCAATGCACAGGCTAGTACAAACAAACCATAGGTTATGAGCAACCAGAGAAGCTCAAAAATCCAAATTTATTGAACAACATGACTGACATAAGATTATTTATTCAGCTCATGAGAAATTTTGGTACCTACCACAATATGCCAATCCTTAAAGATTCTGCTCAGTAGATGACTATCTTATACTCTTGATTAAAATCTTTATGATATAATGATGCTTTTGCTGAAGGAAATTAAATTCAAAACATTTATTAGCGAAAAATAAAATTTGATTAAAACTTATCATAAGCCTACATATTAAGATCATATTCGATTTGGGGTTTTGGGGTTTTGGGGTTTTGGGGTTTTGGGG